CTCATCGTCTCAAATTCCTATAATAATATACATGTATTTCAGTACTCTGATCTTATTTCAACATCGGAAAGTCCTACAAACCACTAATGAGTATATAGCGTGATCAACTTTCGTAGTGGAAAACTATTTTTATTTCATTTTTGGTTGAATGTCGTGTAAAGTTTTCTCGGAGTATCGTGGGTATCGTAACGCATGAATATGCAAACTTAAAAAGAAAATCACGATTATTGAAAAACTTGCTAAATTAAAATTAAAAATCAGTCTTATATAAAACGGTAATTTTATTCGCGTTTTGAATTTTTGATCGATTTTAAATTTTTAAATCTTTGAATGTAAGTTTTTTAAATGTTTAATTATTTAAAAAAAATATTTTGTATTATTATTTCGTATATTATACTGAAAAAGAAAGAAAGAAAAAAAAATTGAAACCTGAAAAATTAATTATTTTTCATATAAAAATAATATCATTACATATAAAATATTCATAAAAATATGTACACATCAAATCACTTAATCACTAATATAAACGCTTGTTAAATAAATTTATCAAGTTTTAATTTAATAATTAATTTAATAATTATTTTTTGTATAAAATTTGTTATAAATTTATATTTTTCTCTTCAATTTATTATATGTTTTATTATATTATCCTTTTTACAATACACATATATTTTCATTTTTATGAAATTTCTATTCATCGATCTATTGTTTCTATTTCATATTTTATTTTTAGGAGATAAATATAACCAATCATTCACGAATAACGTGTACAAAGTACACATGAAACTCACGATATTAGCGGTGGAAATGTCCGATTATGAAACATATAAATGCATATCAAAAAATTCTTTGGGGGAAACAAATGGCAGTATTAAACTTTATCGTAAGTATACTTTTTACTTTATAATTCATTTATAACACTTTTTATTACTATTTTCTTAAATGACTTTTAAATTTTTTACGATATATACATTGCGATTTTTAAATGTTATAATTATTTTAAAAACTTTGAATGAGAGAGAGAAGGGGAGAGGGAAGAGGAGAGGAGAGGAGAGGAGAGCAGACAAGAACTTTATTAAATCTTAAATTTTAAATCCAAAATTATATATTTTGTAGATATTCCGACACCAACGACACAGCCGAGAACCACGACTACTACTACTACTACTACTACTACTACTCCAGTTCCTACTACTAGCGAAGAAGGTAGATGTGAAATAAAAATTTCATCGACACAAGTTTATAATTAGCGTTTCATACAGTATGATATATAACTGTATACAATTATCGACATCTATAAATTAGGTATATGTATCTATTAAGTTCATATCTTTATCATATCTTTCATTAATTCGAAAGAGTCAGTCTTTTTTTTTTTCACTTTCACGAGAACAAATCATATTTATATCGCATTGCTAAAAAGAATAAAAATGAAAATAATCGTTTTATTTGTAGTTGAAAATATTCAAAATTCACGACAAAGACCAGAACCCAGTGCAGATCTTAATGCGTATCAAATAACTGATTCGTCATTGCCTAACATCGAACATAGAACCGATGGTAAGTATCACTATTATATTTTATGAATTGCTTTAATATTAACATGTGATTCTTCGTTTCTTCTATCGCAATATCGAATTAAATTGTATTCAAAAATTGCATAATTATATTCATATATCCTTTTACAAATTATTTCGAATTTTTTAATACAAATAAATTTGCACTTATTTTCATTTAAACATATATAAAATATATATATATTCAAAAAGTTTATGAAAGAAATATAGAAAAACTATGTAAATATATATCAAATTTCTTCAGCAATATTTTCATTCTCGAAACAGATCTCATTTACACGTATGATATATACTTACGCAAATATCTGTCTCAGAAGTGTTTTCATCGATCAAAATATATTGCTGCAAATTTTTTTTTGAAATATTATTTCTCGTTTTATGTCATATCGAAAAAGATAAGGAGAATACAGTGAATGATCGAGAAACATTGTAACGATCGAGAAACATTGTAACGATCGAGAAATGTTTGAATGAATTTCGTTATCACTGTATTCAAGCAGCAATTACGGCATTATCGAAATAAATTTGAATATTCAACCGCGTACATACAACTGTTTCAAAACTGTTAGAAAACTTACAAATAAAAATCGTATTAAATTTGCCGCTCACAATAATAGCACAGTTAACATTCACGTAAAAAATATTTAGTAAAAAAAATCTAAATTTTACATTTTGTTCTCTTTTAATCAAAATAAATACATGCTGTGACGTTTAGTTTAGTAATTATCATTTCGGTTATACTATATAAAGTAATTTTATTCTTAATTTAATATTATCATTTCGGTTATACTATATAAAGTATGCTGTAATTTTATTCTTAAGATTTTATGAATTTTATCGTAAAAAAAAATACGTATTAAATATATATAAATCGAAGATGCAAATTGAAATAGAAGTTTAATTATAGAATTAGAATAGAGGAAGAAGAGAGTATAATATTTCACATAAATATGCCAGAAATTTCTTAGAAATTTCCTATTAAATCATCATCTCGGCGTAATGCGCAAACTTACGCACGTAGAAAGGGGAAGAGAAAAACTTTTTGAAGGGAAAGTTGGAGAGAAGGCGTGAAATTTACTCACGAGCTTTCAGCAACGTGGCACGACATCATAGATCTCCAAGGCGACAAACGCTGCCTCTCAACGGGATTTTGATGAAATCCCACGCGGTTTATGAACTACTACGTCGCTTCAACTATGAAAAAGTAATCTGATCTTTCGTTTGCAAAACTTTCTCGCAGTTTTCGTCTTCCCTTCGATTCTAATCTATCACTTAAAACGAATTTAAAAATTTATGATATTGGCAAATCGTTCGTTCTATGCGATTATCAGAGTAATTTTATTAAATGCATCTTCTTATATTTAAAGAACAAGAAGGAAATCGAATTCGATTTTTAGAGATTTTACGATTTTTTATGAGATTAGAACTGATTCGAAGAAATTAAAAATTATCCTTTATAATATTGTACTGTCGATGCTCGTATAAATACTCGCGGCAAAACTAGCTTTCCTTTTTTTTTTTTTTTTTCTTTTTTTTCGGAAATATAAGTAAATAATATTCGTATGTATGAATATCGCATCGTCACAAAATTCTCACGGACCGAATGCTCGTTTAGTAATCAATATTCGTTTGTATCGTTAATTATATAATTAATTTTTTTTTCTTTTATCATTCGATGACAATTTGTGATCGATTTATTCAATTGTCATAAAATTATAAGAATTCAACCGGGATTTGAATCGAGCTAATTTAATATGAATTTTGAACGAGATACTACAAATTTAGTATTACTTTTGTTAGCAAACTATAGCGTAAAATTCTAAGTGCATTTTATAAAATGCAAAAATTGAATGTTATATACGTGCTAAACATGAAATTTGTGATATTTCATAGAAAGCAAACTAACTTACAATTTTTATTATCATACCGAATTACAATAAAACTTTTCCAAAATATTATGTAAGTTCGCATCAATATTTTTTTTTTAATATTTAATAGTACACGCATTTTTGTTTCTATACATTATCTTGCAGAAAAAAAAATGCAATTGAGAATGTAAAATATTAAAATCGTATAAATAACAATACATTGAAACGAAAGAATATATTTTTAGAATATAACAATTTTTCCAATATAAAAAAATCTTATCAAGATTTTAAATATAAAGAATCACTTTTTTTTAGATATACATCTTTATGGAAGGGCGAGCAGCGATAGTTACAACGATGCTGAAAATGTTATAACAACAAATGGACGAAAAAGCATCGACAGCGAAGTACGACCACGAAGAATCGACAATACGGCGCAATCGATGTCATCCAGGGATTCTAATTCGAATTTTCAAGTACAAACTACAACGGCCATTTGCATAATCCTATTGTCCGCCCTGTCGTAGTCACGTTAGTGTTTATTAGCGAAAAGAACGGTTATTCGTAAAAAATCCTTCGGGGATCAAGATTCGTCCTGTTCATCGTCATTTATCTCATCCGCGAAAGGGATCAATTAATGGGTGTACTTCGATGTTACAAATTATCGACAACCATTGCCTTCGCTGTCGTTGTGACCGAGATCAACGAAATAATTTTTTTTCCTTCTTCAAACTTTGCGATAAAGTTTGTCAAATTATACGATTAATTTCTAATAATAAATTCGAATACTTGGATTAGGTATTTATCAATGCGATTACATTTTTCCAAATTCGCACAAGTTCACAGATTATAATTATAAATCAATTATTTTTCCGGATTCACGTTACGATTAATTATTTTTTCGTTAATTAAAATTTAAAAACGTTAAGTAAATATTATTTTTTTCTTTTAATTATTTTTCTTAATTATTCTTTTTAAAACTTAATTAATCTTATCTCTTTTTATATCTTCAAAAATTAATTAACGTTCAATTTATTTGTAAGTCTTTTCTTTTTTTTTCACTTGTAAATAACGTGTATTTGGAAATAAATGAATTTTCCTGGAGCTAAATTTAAATTTAAATGTAAATAAATTAGAAATATGTATAAAATATTTTATTATAGATGACTATTTCCTGTATAATAGTATAAATAATAAGAAGTATAATAAATAATTGTTTTTCTATGAAAAATAAACAATCAAAATCAGAGTAATAACATCGATAATACTATCAATTTTCAACATTTAAAACAATTTGAAAAATTGATATTTAAATATCAATATTATATATAGTATTACATCGATTTTAACAGTTAATACTTTATACTTTATTAAGGAATAGCAGGATGTTAAGATTAATATTCTTTTCGATCACTTTTACATTTTTTTTTAATCTATTAACTGATTCTTTTAATAAGAAAAAATAAACAGGATAAACAGAAAATCTACATTTAAATTTAATATAAATGAAGAAGACTTTTGAATAATTATATATATTTATTACTTTAATTTTTTTTTCTATTTGTCAAGTTAATCTAAAACATCATAAAAAATATAAGAATATTTTTATACGGTAGAGCCGCGTTAATTGAATGCGATACGGATTCGCCAATTTTAAGAATCAACGAATCCATGAAAAAATTTCGAAAAAAAAAATTATTTCAAAAAATTATAGTCGAAAGAAATAAAAGTAAATGACGAATTTATTCGAAATATTCAATTATCACGGTCCTATTGTAAATTATCTTTAACGCAATTTAATTTCAAAAAAATTTTATTTTTATACTTTCCTATGAGAAAATATACATGGAATTAACAGAAATGGAAATATTTTATGAAAAGAAAATTTCTTAAATTAACATATTTTAATATAATTTTTCATTATTAATTAATCACGAAAACATTTATTAAAACACTAATATCGTTTCTCCGATCGCAGAATCTGTTTTCCGTTTATCAATATTTTAGATAAATTCATTAGAATTTATAAATTCATACTATGAGAATGCCAAAGAATAATTATTATACAGAGATGAATATTTTTGTATTTTCTCGTATCAAACGTTTCATTTTAAAATCTATAAGATTAATTATAGTAATGGGTATACACTTTCCACGATAACGATGTTATATATGTATACGTACGTATATTATATCGTACAGAAAAGTATAAGTACCTACAATTTTATAACAATACATTTTTATTTTTATTTTATCTCGAACATATAAATAATTCGTATTAATTTATATGCAAAATGTCATTAACTATTCTCTCGATTATTCAAAACTGTCCTCTTTATATATATTATTTTCGCCCATTATTATCGATCTCTTTTCTTTTCTCACGTTCTTTATTCGTCAGGCGAAATCCTGAAATCATACGTATCGTTAGTCAACGAGATTTTTTATTTATTCCCATCAGTTTTATACAAACACGATATACTTTTTCCTCCATCACATTTTTCTCGTAATTATCAAAATGAAAATTTGAAAATTATTAATCGTACGTTTTATCCATGCTGATGTTTTATGCATTTTATTTTTTCTATGTTTCAAAGATATCTATTCTTCATTTATAAATGAATCTATTTTTTTTTATTACGCGATATACTTATTCATAAAAATGGAATCTTAATAGTAAAATTCTAAAGTAATAAAAGTTTTTTTTGAAATCGTCTAATTCTAATTCTTATTAAGTCGATCGAATAATTTATTTTATATAAAGCGAAATTCAGATGGAATCGAAAAGATCATAATCGAAAAATAACGAAATTGATCGAACGAAATAAATTGTACAAACGAAATAGATTGTACTCATTCGATAGTTATTCGTACCTAATGAATTTTCAAACAAAATTTCTCATTTCTCGTTATGTTTTTTTTTTCATTCCATCAACGATGTTTGGAAATCATTCTACGTACATTAATGATATTTTATGTATTTCGTTATTTGATTATAATCGATTACTTAATTACTTATTACATATTCGGCCTAATCAATGTATAATTAAAGTTAGTATAATTATATCACGCGCAATACACATTACATATACATACATATAGATATTTGCCGCGCAATGTTAAATTACGATAAATCAAATAAATAAATCGTAACGTAAATCAATTATGGATAGAATCCATAACGATACGCATAGAAACGCAACAAACATGTACTTACTTGAAATAATTTTGTATAATTCATGTGTATATACATGTATATACAAGAATGTAAATGTTACATTAGAATAATCGAATGCATCGAATGTTCTGAACTACGAAACTCGTGATCGAAGAAAGTAAAATTAAAACAAAGACAGTGTAAAAAAGGATATAATAATGCGTGTATATTTTATCTCAGAAATAATTACAATTCACCATTGAAAAGAAGAACATCCATTTTCACATACATTTTTATTTCTAATATATTACCTATCGACATCTTGGATCTTTTAATCCAATTATTCGACAGAAAAAGATAATATAGTCTATTGAAACGATAAGATATAATAAGATCTCTTACACGATTAATAATTAAAAATAATTATCTCTTATATTTGTTACACTACAGAATTCTTTTATTCATTCAATTTTGAATATTCAAGAGAAATTTTTTTTTCTTCATAGCGCGAGATAGGAAATGCGCTCTCCAAGAATGTCAAAAGTTACAGTTCTTCCCTCGTGAAGCGACACAAACTTCTTTTCAACGGTGAACGATATATACTCGCAATATATATATATACTTGTATATAACAATGATGAAAAAGTACGAAGAAATCTATCATCGAATCTATATTAATGAAATATAATTGAATTTGTACATATTAAATATAATTTGCATTCATACGTAAAACGAATAAAAATTATTCTTACAACCTAATTTTTATTTTATTCAGATTTTGATAAAATTGAATTCATTTAACCTGTAAATATCATTAATCGCAAACATATTCATTTATGCTTTGCTTCTCATTTTTATACCAAACATTTGTTACATTATTAATCACAATTATTATTACACAGGTTTAGATTTTAAATTGTAAATATTACTTATACAAAAATATCACGAACACGCGTATTGTAAAATTAATCAACAATTATTATACTCATTTCAACGAAACGAGTATCAATAAACTTAAAACATATGCATATGATCGACTAAAAAAAAAAATACGCATAGACAAGATAGGATCTCAAAGTTTACAGATCCTTATATAGTAGAAAAAAAATATCTATCAAGTTTTCGCTTTGCATATAGAATCCTCGGACAAGAAACCACTACAAATTGGTCTTAAACTCGATATTTAATAATAATCGCTAGCGATTAAATAAATATCACGCAGCCGTTTCGTTATTTCCGACTCGCCACATTGAAACATTAAATATAAGTTCGTTAATCATGAATAAAAACATATAAGTATTTTATTCGCGTTCTTCGAAGAAACAAAAGCAGTAAGCTTTTCAAGTTTTATAATCAAGTATTATAATAATATAATATAATATATATGTATAATATAATATACAAGTATTATAATAAATAATATTTGTACAATATTATACACATATGAATTACAAGTTGAATACGAAAGAAATATATATATATATCAAGAATATGCATAACATAATTATACAATATTAATACAATAATATAACGATTAATAATATCGTAACACGTTCGTGTAAATTAAGAAAAAGTTTTTCTAATGAACGCGTTTATTCGTGCTACGAATAATTAAATACGCATGACATTTGCAAATGACGTTTGCTTATTGTTGACGAGAATTATTGTAAATCTGTATATACAAGTATTAAAATAATTAAAATTATAATATACTTAAATTTAATCATGACAATTGTAGTAATAGTTGACATAATACCTCAGTAGTTTCAACAAGTTACTTCAGTGAGCTTATTACTATCTCCTACGTACGCAGAATTTGAAATTAATGTCTTTTTATTTTATTTTTCTGATATAACTATCAGTCCCATATTTATTCGTTACATTTGTAAATCTTACTTTTAAAAGTAAGATTTCTTTATATTTATTATGTATATTATACAAAAATTTTATATAAAATGTTCATATTTACCATTATATCAAATGATGCAATACCGATAAAATATATATATATATTGTTTAATAATTTAAATAAAAAGTATAATAAAATATGAAACAAAATTTTACAAGATCATTTACAAGAAGAATTATCTCGTTTTCTGTTTTATAAATTTTCTTATTTTTTTTTTTTTTTTAATTATTCGATCAATGAAAT